TTCGGCAAGACAGGCAGATGGAAAACAGGAGCAGCAGGGCTTTGCATATATATTCCTTCTCAGAGTTTGCTCTATGTTTTCGCAGTCTTGTTCTTCGGTGAAGGAGTTCTTCCGGTTTAGACGGCGAGCGGCGGTTGGAAGACTCGTCCGGAAATCCCTCGCCTGCCAGGTCGCAAGTCAGCACGAGTCTTGCGTCAGCATCTCATCCCTCGTTGGCATCGCTGGAAACGTGCGCCCGCGGAGATTTTCCGACGCAGCAGGAATTTGCGACAAGACTCAATGAAACTAACGCGATGTTAGCTGAAGTGCGGCTGAAGCAGGGTCCCGTGGTCGAAGCCGAAGGGGATCAGATTTCTGCGTTTGCACAAGGCGAGATGGTTCAAACAGTCCAAAACCAGATGTCTCTTCGCTATGCGTCGCTATGTTCATGGTCAGAGTGAGATTTCTCGTTTGCCCAATGAGATGCGCCAGGTCCAGGTTTTGCATGGCAGATTTGGGGCAGGCCACGGATGCGGCCAATCAATTTTTTCGCCGCCAAGTGCATAAGAAGCATGAGAAGCAGAAGTGATCTGAGAAGGTCAGCAGCTACTGCTCTCCAAATACTTGATGGCATTTGATTAGTCCTTATTTTGCCGAGCGGGTCAGAGCAGCTGATTCCTGTGTTTGCACAGTTCTGTCAGGGAGTTTGGTGGCTCTGTATCCCCAGTGAGGTGGGACCTGCACAGCAGAGTTAGGTGGAAGGAGCTTTTCTTTTCCTTTTTGGCGGTTTCAAGGTCATGCGGTCATGGGGAGCTTTTGCGTGGGATTCAGATTTCAGTGAAAAGGCCAGGCTACTTACTGGAAGGAGTGGAGCGCTCACTTTGAGAAGATGGGGTGACCCCGCTTTGTTCAACCGCACTCGCCAGTCGCTCTTGCAGCTTGCAACCTTGCACCCCCACAGGTCGACATGGTATTGCATCTATCTATATATATATATAGAGTGAAATATGAAATCATGCAACGCTTTTTGTGCGCGGAGATTTCTTCATGCCGTTTGAAACATGTTTGCTCATCTCTCCCGTCCGAGCATGAGTTGGATGCCGTTCGACAACCCTTGGGGAGCCCACCCAGATGGTCAACCATCCCCCAGGGAGCGGATCCTTCGGCGGTTTTGCGCGAAGCTTGGCCTTGTGACCTTTGATTTCAGGAATCATGTAAGACTTGGTTTATCTCCTTCCGCTTGTACTTGATCTTAGAGGCTGTAGATGCCTAGAAGGTCCCAAGTCTTTTGACTTCCCTTTCAGCAGTTCTCCACATGGCTGAGGTCGGACTTGCCTGATGTCTGTAGCGTGCAGGTGGTCTGGGAAACTACTGAACCCGTAACCCGAGTTAAATGGCTTTGGCTCACACAAAGAGCAAGACGCCCCGCCAAGACACGGTTTTCTCAAAGGAAGTCCCTGTAAAAGGGACATCGCTTGGGAGACGAACGGTGGATGGTGGAGACGTTTTGCCCATCATTCCTTTTCTCCCACCGATCGGATGGATTTTGAGGGAATGAGCGGACGGCATAAGCGTAAGCCGTAAGCCGCTCGAAGTTCGGAAGAACCTTTGAAGCGTTCCGAACGCACTTCTGTTCAGGATGCGAAAGAAGCCCTCAAGCACTGTGCCGAGAGCCAAGAGATAGGCAGTCAAGCAGTCTTCTTGGACAACGTACGGGACACAGGGACGAACAGGACAGATCCCATGATGTATACTCCTGGAACTGGGTATATATGTCCCTTTCCCACGACTCAAGGTCAAAGATGTTTGTCAATGTCAACAGGTGTTGCGGTGATCGGTTGAGGTTGGCAAGGGTAATCGGTACCTGTGAAGCATGTGGTGTTCTGTCTGGCTGCGCTGCCTGGCTTAGGCAGAAAAAAGGGAGTGGAGAGAGCCGCAATGCGTCTCTTTGCGCCATGTATCCAGAGGTGCGGAGATTTTCACAACCAGCGGCAGAGACAGAGATCCAACCAAGCAGAGAAGCGGACCTGTTGGTGATGCGAAGCGGACCGTTTTTGACCCCTGGGAAACAATCTCTGCCCCTCTCGATTTGCACGCACGTACACAATCATATACACACACACAGTAGACTATCAGGGAGCTTGGTGTCCTTTGATGCTACATGCAGGAAATGGAGAGCCTCGGGAAGTTGAAGTGGGATGGTGGGGTTGCCCAGGTGTTGGCAACAATGCCAGCCTTGTTTCAACTGCAGTTGAGACGAGACTCTTTTGCTTACGACCAACCTTGAGGTGTGTGCTGACCGAATTCCAGTTGTTCGCACTTGACACTTTGTGGTTCCACTACTATACTGTACTCTTTGTCTAGCCGTTAGAATCACGATGCATTTTTGTTGCAGAGGGCCTTTGAACAGGTGCAATTAATTATCCACCCTTGGGGCGTGCTTGCTGAATTTAGCTCAAGGTTGCTAGAAACTTGCATCGCCTTGGGACTTCAAGCAATTCGGTTGAGATGGCTCTCCCCATGAAGAAGTCCGCGATGAAGTCCGCTATGAAGTCCATGAAAAAGGCTGCAACACCTGCAACTATGAAGGTCATGAAGAGGAAGGCTGTGAGCAAGATTGCACGAGGCAAGCTGGCAAAGGTGTCAGTCTTCAAGGGGAACAAGGAGAAGACTGCATCGGGCCACGCCAAAACCGATCTCATGAAGAACAAGAGGGGCAAGGTCATCACAAAGTCGAAGAATGCCGCTGGCAAAAAGGCGTACAAGAACATCTCTGCCTGGACCATCGCTTGCCAGAAGGCCAGGAAGGAGCTGAGCATCAAGGGTTTCTGTGCCGTGAATGGAAAGACACTTCAGGGCAAGACACTCTACACCAGGGCCAAGGCAATCTTTGCTGAAGGATGACTCTTTGTCCCATAGGTCAAGCTTGCGTGGTAGTTCACGGAGCATTGAACCTCTTATTGATGGACAAGTGGGCTCAACATGTATAGACTGATTTGTTGAGATGTGCTTGCAGTCCAGACCTCAAAAGAAGCACACTTGCAGCGTTGGACGCGTCTTGGTGATTCGTTTTGATACACATGATATTGCTGCCTGTTTGGACGGACGGCTTGTTTGTGGCACCCCACACAAAGGCAACACATTTTGTGCACAAATGATCCTAGGACGCTACTAGGGGCTCCTGGCCATACTACTAGTAACAAGAAGCTACTAGGGGCTCCTGGCATCGCTACGAACGGAGCAAGAGGACGCTACCGAAAAAGAATGCTCTCTGCCACCAAGGAGATGGCCATTATGTTTTGGACCCTTTCCCAGGGGACCACCCGCCCACCTTGGGCCAGGTGCGCTGTCTTTTTTTTTTTTCCATTTTCAATTGAATCGAACACAGAGGCTGAAACCGGGGTGCGAAGAACAAAGACCTGGAGGAGATGGACCTCGAGGAACTCAAACAATGTTGACCATGTTAGTTAAGTTTCCCTAAACATGTAGGAACCAAATGAATAGTGCGTCATCTACTGGATTAAAGATATTGAAAGGAAGGATGTGGAAGCGAACGCGGAACGCTAGCCAGTGCACTCCTTATGTTGTAAATGTTTTTGGGGAGCATGGGGTCTTTTTGGGGACTGGTAGCTGATATGAGAGCCATTCGTCAGTGGTTGGCTGTTCTGATGCACGTTCTGGTGCCCAGCAGCTTGGTCACCCGCAGGGATCAAGGCATCATTCATGTCATGATGCAACAACGAGCATAGCTTATATACAAGATCTTACAAGATAGAGTAGGACCACACAACCAACCATTCGTACTGCAGGTCACGGGGCGTCATCCTGTCGGTAGTAGCTACTTAAGGTACTAGCTACCTAGCTACTACTAGCTAGCTATCTAGCTAACCTACCTCACCTCTACTAGTGGTCTACCCCCTTGAAAACAAGACCATATTCGACCTGATGCCACGACAATATCGGACCTGACATTCGCCCTTCAACACGGCCGCAGATCGTCTCCTGCTTGAAGTTGTTGGATGCTGCAGTGTCTCAGTCAAAAACCGTTCTGCTGTTGAGCTCACAAAAGAGGCGCGGGGTTGAACAAAAACGAGTGTCCAAACGATGGTTTGGGAACAAAGATGATCGACGCATTCCAGCAAGATACGACTCCGACTCGGTCGTCAATTCCAACGAATCAGTTCGTCACTGGGCTCCAGGCGGGCGGTCTCAGCGACCTTGGCGGGCGCTGTGCTGGTGCTTGCACGGGGCTTCTCCCCACAGGAAGCCTGGCAGCACATTCTTCCAGTCTATGGAACGCCACATCCTGACCCAAAGGCACGAGGGTTTGGCGTGCCTGTTTTTGTTCGCTCGACGCCTGGCTAGCACCTTGGATAAGCCCAAGGGATCAATGTGCATTTTGTGGGTCAATCATTCAGCTGGTGAGATTCAAGAAGTGCAGGCTTACCTACACAATCCTACACCAAGAAGTTTGGACTTCGAGTGCACACCCCATTCAAAACCACAAGAGTTCTGGAAAAGATGAACAGACGAGGTCCACAAAAGAGGCCCACTCTGGTGTGCAGGTGGCATGGGATCGCTTCCCACCACCCTTCTCTCACTCAGGCGAGAAGGGCCATGGGAGGTGTTGCAGGTGAGATCGGTTGAGGAACTCCGATTTGGCCCCTTTGAGAGGAAGCTGGTCAGGGTCTTGCCAGAATCCCGTGTTCGGAATTCCAGCAATTCCTCCATCACGTTGAGTCTTCCAAAGAATCCAGTCTGGGCAGTCCTTCTGAGGCTTCAGCCTGTTCACTTTTCCCTTCTGCGCCATTCCGTCGCCGTTGCGTCGCCATTCCGTTGCCAGGGGAGACCGGACCGAGCTCGTTGATGGTGATCGATTGCCTGCAAGGCGGGAGCCGAGGGAACGTCTCAGAACGTCATGGGATGGATCGTTGGCCCTGCTTCAATTAGGCAGCTACTAGTAACAAGTGCATCGCTTCTAGTAACAAGTGCCTTACTAGTAGTAACAAGAAACTATTAGAAACACTATTAGACATTAGACTTAGACCTACCCCTAGCCTACCCATAGGCCTCTCCTAGGCCTACCATGGGCCTATCGTAGGCCTACCCATAGTCAAGTAGAATCCTTGTTAAAGGGTCCCGTCAAACAGAATCCTTGTTATAAAGGGACCCGTCAAACAGAATTGATATTTAAGCCTATGGCTAGGCTAGACATCGGTGTAGGAATAGGCCTAGGGTAGGCCTATGGATAGGGTAGCCCAGACCCTAGGTTAGGATAGGCCTACGGATAGGGTATGCTCTTCTGGGATCTCGGAATTCCAAAGGTTGTGGTCCTTCTATTGGGTTAGGCGTCCATTTTTTCAAACCCACAAGTCGGTGAGCTTTACCTGAACGGATCCCACCAGTTGGCTAATTGAATCTTGTGCCCAAACTGGCAGGTCTGGCAGTTGCAAGGCAGAAGAACTGGTTGGAGGAAGGGGGAACTCGTGTTGGAGAGGTCCGTCGTTTTGCCCTACCGTCGATGTCAGCACTTTGCCCACTTATTCTTGTGATTACCGGGTCATCGCGCACCTCATGCGCCCCTTCTTTGTGAACATCAGACCAAGCTAGGCACGCCTTCTTCTTCCCGTCGACCTCCGGCCATGGAAAACCGCGCCCAGGACTACCGGTATTTCGATGTGGGTGCCTGGAAATTCATGCGGGAAAAGTTTGATGCCTCGTGGCTCATCCCAGGTGGGGTGAGATGGCGGCTGGTTCTTGTATATAAACCCCCAATAGATAGAAAACCAAGATCCTTTTCAACATGTATTGGAAATCGTTTTTATCTATTTGGATCTATTTGCGGACCACTATATGCTTTTGCCATGTTTTGCCCAATTCTTCAGCACATCGTGAACAAATCCTGAACCCCTCACCCATCAGAGCTTGCCCACGAGAAGACACAACACTGACACCACTTGGTCTCTCAACGAGTTCGCCGCCGCCGCTGCACGGTGTCCCATCCGATGTGGATCGCATGCTCTCCAATTCCGCACGTTGGGACGCGACGCGCGGCGTGTGGCGTGTGGCGTGTGGCGCCAGGCGAGATCCTGGCCATGGCCAACCCGTGGGGCACCTCTCAGAACCCACGCTTTCCGGGACTCCTCCAGCGAGGAGTGGGGTGGGCGGTGGGGTTTTTGGTCGTATTCTTTGCTTAAATGAGAAGGGTCAGCGGCAAACGGCAAACACCAAGAAGACCTCTGACAAAGACTTAGTTGTTCCACTGACAAAGACGCGGACAAATCACTCAGAGGGAGTTCCGCTATGCTTCATCCAGGGGATAAGTCACAGACCCTGTCCACTGACTGTTGATCAATTAAATCACCCTATGAAAAGGTTTCCTAATCCAAAATGTTAAATGTTATTAATCTGATCTGTCGTCCTTATATAAAGAGTCTAAATGAATGACTGATTTAACCTCAGCAGCTTGATTGAAACGTTCTGCACTCAGGACCCATGTTAGGGTCCCAACGCTCAACGCAGCTCCTTGCCTCAACTAGGAAGTGGAAGTGGTGGGGATGGTTTGCTGATGACCTAGGACCTATTTCCCCAGATAGCGAAGCTATGGGGTTCTTACTTCAAATAACAATGAGTTGCCTGTGCGCGCTTTCGAGACAGGTTGCTGGTGCTGGTGCTGGGTGCCGGTGCTGGTGCTGTGAGCTGGCTGTGCACGTGGTGGAGACAGGTTGC